CAGCCACTGTTGGCACTTCCTTTGTCATGTGACAGTGCCCAGGCCTAGCAATTGGGTGCTAGACCCAAGTACATTGAATTGGAAGGAGCTCACATGCTCTCCCATATTTGGCAGCATGCTCTCCCATATTTGGCAGTGAAAGGAACAGCAGAAAAGGACTGGCAAGGCTAGTATCAGTCACCTTTTTTACAAACACAGTCACTTTGCCCATTTAGGCCAAAATGATATTGCCTTTTTATGTTTTACATAAGGTTAAGGTTTAAGTGTTAAGGTGTAAGTTTGAGGGATTCATTTTTATGGTTCAGGTTTTATGTTGATTTTAAAGGTAACCCGTGAAGATAGGATTGGAACTACCATTGCTGGCTTGATTTAGTAAACATGTAGACTCCAGTGTAAGTGTATGTTACATAGTTACATAGTATTTGAGGTTGAATAAAGACATTAGTCCATCAAGTCCAACCTATTAGGATCTCATTCTAGGAGTACCCGTACCCCTGTATATTACGGTCCCTTAAGAAATCGTCCAAAAGTTTCTTGAACAATTCCACATTATTTGCTGAAATCACCGCCTGTGGCAGTGAGTTCCAGACCCTAACTGATCTTACTGTGAAGAACCCCCTTCGCCCCTTGTGCTGGAATTTTTTTTCCATCAATTTTAGGTGATGGCCTCTAGTTTTCCCAGCCATTCTTCATTTTAATGCACCCTACTCCCCCCTCAATCACATTTCAAGTATACTGTGCACCCCCCACCTGCTTATGTTTTGGACATTGATGTAAATGCTGTATTAAGAACATATTATCTTTTTGTGAATCAGTGTCTTGGAGTATATATTGGCATTTGTAAAATTACACAGTAAAATGTTCCCAATATGCTTGAATATGCTGAAAAATCACATACCGTTTTCTGATTGCCACCAACGTAGATGACCAATCCGTGACACCACATTAATAATCCGGTGACTGATTGCTGAAAAAGGATCTCGTGAATCACAGCGACAACATTTAAGCTGGGCCTGGAAGAGATATATTGATACCATGTAAAATGAGCATGGGATACTCAAGACTTGCAGCACTGCATTTCCTAATACACAACAAACATCTCTGTAGTTTAACATTTTATCCTAACAAACAGTTCTGATTTTGCATGCATGATTCTTTGAAATAAGCCTGAGTTGAAAGACACTGCTGACCTGTTTCTGGAAATGCCAGTTGCCTGGTTGTTATGTTGACATATTGGTTTCAATACACCATTTAACTGGGGATATAAATGCATACCATGGCATGCTGGAAAGATGCAATGACAGGTTTTCTGGATCAATGGACTTTAGCCGTGCAAATGAGAACCTCATTAGGCTGAATGAGAGAAATCACAAGATTCCCCTTTCAATGCTAAACAGGCTGCCCTGCTGGCTATTGTATTCTGACAGTCAGCATCCACAGCTGTCAGAATACCCAAGCAGTGACTGCAGTTCATTAACTGTAGTCACTGTACATTTGACTTGTTTCAGTCTGGTTCCTTCAATTTTTTGCAATCTGTCGAGCTGAGTGGTGTCAGGAGGTCCACCCACAGCTTGAGTTTTGGCTAATTTTCAGGAATCAGTCAAAATTCAAACCATGGCTCCTCTCTCCTTCATTATCGCAGACTCTCCTGCAGAATATCCTTCGCCCTAATGTCAAATTCACACTCCAAGCTGGCAGCTTTGTCCCTCTCTTCTGTAGCTATCCCATAGAGGTAAATTGTGGTGGCCAGTTTGGGGTGGTTCAAAGTCCATTAAGCTGCATTGCCAGCAAGCTGTCAGGAAACAGAGTGTTCTCTTAGTGAAGGAAACAGTCTGTGTGAAGTAGTAAAGTACTGCTTCCACATAGCAAGTAAAATGGCAGTTGTGCAAAGTGAAACCGTTCTGCAATACAAGTACACAGCAGGCAGCATAACAGTGTCTATGATGTGGCACATACTTCTTCCTTCAGGGACTTTTGGAAGTTACTTAGGACAAAAATGGAAGAAAAGAAAACAGAAGCAAAACTGTGGGTTATAGGAAACACTTAAGAGCAGATTTATCAATTTTTCGCCCATTGTATAGCTATGTGAATGCCACTTGTATGGAGCTAGCGCCACTAGATGAAGCAAAGGAGCATAGGAAATGTATATGCTTCTCAAAGCCATCTAGTGGTGGGGGTCCCTGATTCATATCAGGACACCATATGCAAGAATTTTCTCCAGTTACTCCGGTTTACCGGTTTCCTCCACACTCTCCAAAGACAGGCTGGTAGGATAATTGGCTCCTGTCTATATTGCCCCTGTATGTACGTATGCATGTGAGATAGGGACCTTAAATTGTAAGCTCCTTGAGGGCAGAGACTAATTTATATGTGCACTGTAATGTAAGCAATGTAAAGCGCTGCATAAAATTGTCTGAGATTTACTATATAAAGATTATACAGTATATACATATATACCAATTAAAAATAAATAATAAATAGTGCCGTCTGGACAGAATTTGCCAAGCTATATGCTGGGTGGAAGATTAACAAATCAGACCCTTAGGTTCTTTGTTACCTTGTCTAGTCACTGTGGTCAAACTTCACTTTTTGTAAGGTTTACCTTTCTCCAGTTTTTAAAAAATAAAATAAACAACCCCTATGAAAAATATGGCCCTACAGGAAAGAAGCAATCATTGTCCAATATAGGGAAAAATGCACAAGTGTATATCAATCAAGCATTTGATTCATTTAAAGAATGAAAGATTTGTGCTATGTAAATAATTTTTGTTTGTTTGGGAAAAATATACAAACTCAGTATAAATAAATTACAGCTAAATCTTTATTATGAAATACCATTTTCTTAGTACTAATATTTTTGCCTAACAAAAAATGGCTGATGCACATGAATTGAATTTGTGTTTCGGGAATTGTGACTGTTAATAGATTCCATTTCCTATGGTAACAGGGTGAAAGTTATCTAGGGTAATGAAGTGAAATTTATCAAGGCCCACAAACAAACCTTTGTAGTGTCTTTTGTCTGCCTGGGCTGCATGAAGTAGGTGAAAGGTTACTAGGTAAAAAGTCAGTCTGTATAAAGCTCAGGCTTGTCTGTGTTCAACTCTAAGCAGTGTGCTAAGAATTCCCACAGACACAGCTGCTTAGAATACACCATTCTTCTGTAGTCTCGTATGTCAAATACAAAAGGGACCTATTTAAAGACTAGTGAAATAGCTGATTTTTCTTTACCATGCCTGTTTTGCTGTATTTCCTGATTTTCATATGAGTGATGATTCATTGCATTGCATTGTACCAGGTTGCATAAATAAAGATACATTTAAATGTAAATCCACAAATTATTTAACTTGGATGGTCATCAAGCAAAATTTAGCAAGCCCACAATATAATATATACAGTATATCTATCTATCTATCTATCTATCTATCTATCTATCTATCTAGATAGATATACATATCTATCTATATATATATATATATATCTATATATA